TAAAGGAATTATCTTATCTTATAAATATAGACAATTACCAAGGTACACTGAAGTGTATAAACCCTGATGACTTTAGGCACTTGATGATTCAAATTCTTAAATATAATGATTGGTCAGTTAAGGTTACCAGAAACTACTGACTGTACAGCATTTGCCAAAAAATATGTCTTACTCTCTGTAAGTTATTTGAATTACTTTTTTGCTTTTACAGTGGAAGATCCATTGTTATTGAGTATCATGACCTCTTCTTGCATACAGTTTCTTGCTACTCTACCCTCACTCTAATTTAGACACACTGCAGCATTTGTACTTTAATATTTCTAAATCTCAAGAGTAAAATGTGCATTATTTAAAGTAATGAAATTAAAATTATACTTGATCTGGACAAAAGGCTAAGCGGAATCACCCTGATCAAATTTGTGAATGGCTTTTTTTCATACATTTCTTATTTTCTGTCACTAAACTGAGCAGCACTCTGAAACCACATATTCTCCACTTGCTCCTTTCCAAGCTTCCAGAGATGATGAAGGATGTTTACACCCTTCCTGGTTGAGATCATCAGATACTCTGCATTTTCTGGATGCAGGGAAACAGCATGACGAGCTAAAACAAACGACTGGCAGAATCGGGACAGCACCAGCACATAGAGACAATCTTTCTCTGTCTCGTTGAGGGGAAGGACACTCTCCCAGCCTGCGAGGACGGGTCCACCCACCTCTACGGGTTTAGGGTGCTCCGTCATCATGTACATGATGGTGATGGCTAGCTCATGGATGTAATAGCCACTGTTCATGTCCCCAAAGTCAAGGATGCCAGAAATCCTGTAGCTGTCACTGTCATCAGGTTGCACCAGCACGTTCAGGTCATTGAAGTCACCGTGGTTAATGCCTTAGAAAAGAAAGAACGTTTTTTTTGTTGTTTATGGGAACTAAAATACATGACTACTTGTGTATTCAATGACATATCAAGTCTCCGTTGATAGTGTCCAACGTGCCAATGAGCAGCCACCGCTGTGTTCTTGTCCAAGTATTTAAATTAATATGAATGTAATACAGGGCAGTGTTAAAAAAAGATGATCTAGAAGATGATCTAATGAGTAAATATCATACTCACACTTGCGGAAACTGGAGCGTTTGGGGACCACACAGGTCTTGTACTGATGAATAACAGACTTCACAACGTCCTGAAGAGGATCTCCATCTAATACATGTATGTATGTTTCCAGGAGGTGAACATATGACAGACTCCATATGAACTTCTCTCTCTCCAGCATGCTAAGATGAGGGTGCTCCAACTGGGGAAAAAAACAATAATACAGAGAAGCAGAAAGCAGAAAAAAAAGTACAATATAACTAAAAACCAAGAAGAAGTAAACCGTTTTTATCAGCTGTTAACTTAAGAAAAAAGTCTGCTAAGAATAAATGAAAGGTCCTTTATAATATACATTATCTGAATTATATTCTAAAAAAAATGCAAACATGGGTGACATCGAAGTAGCATGATTAAAACAGATCTGGAGGTATTACAAAACAAAGAAATAGGATCTAAAAGTTTCACAGGTGTGTTACTATTATACCTTTTGTAGGATTGTGTCCATTCTGGCGGCTGTCTTGCCGGTTTCATACAGTAACTCTGGTGTTAAAGGAGCCTTGGAAATAGTGGTTCCAGGCAAATAAGTCAACAGCCGCACCAGATAAGTCTGACAGCCATACCCACAATCTGTCCAAGGTAAAGACAGGATTAGTATTACAGCCATTTACCTCGATCTTAGCCCTCATAAAGCATGACCCGTATGTTGTGGCCTTGCTCAAGGGCCCACTTATCATTACTAAACAGCTTGAGTATTAATATTACGGTGGATATGAACCTGCCGTGGTCTGCTGTATTGCTTAAGATTAAGACTACAGATGTGATTTTTTTTTATTTTTGTCTTGAGGCGGAATATGTTAGTCTACCTCCTCCACTGGACAAGTTTCAACAGCGTAGCTCATCACTTATCTTTCTTAGCTTACTGAAACAGCGTCTAGCCCAGGGCCAATTTCAACTACTGAGCGTGTTCACACACACTCACACACATACATAATGTATAATATGCAGAATCTAATGCATTTGTCACTGTTAAATGTCAAAAAGCTACATCTGGTAAATTGAAGCTCCCAGAAACCTCTGTGAATAAATTCTTGCGTGGCAGGTGCTACAGGAACAGCCACATACATGAATTTACCTCTAAAGGGTCGGTGAATATCACTACTGTATAGGAATAGGGAGGGGATGCATTCAATTAAATCCAAACAGCAGCACTCGTGTTTCTAAAACACTATGAACTTGAATAATGAACATTATGAAAGTGATGATTCACAATTTCATTACTAATTCTAATGCCACAGTAAGAGACAAATCGTGTCCTCATTTATACTGGAGAGTAAAAGCTGTTAATGTTATTTTAAGTAATTAATAGATGAATGGTGACAAAGAAAATGCTATAAAGCATTTAGATGTCCATTAAGACATTAATTGAATTTATATATAACTGTTAACTAACTCTGACTTCAAACATGCTCCAAATGTGGATGCAATTTTCTGAAAATGGCATATGACATCTACATCTATCTTTTCAGCAAACTTAGAGGCATAAGATGGCATTATTCCCCAGGTCTGGACTGCAAGACTGGTCTCATACCCATTTCTTCCAGGCTCAAGAGCTTCCCTGAGGTGTTGGGCAGAGCTGTTTGTGCAGGAAGTCCATTCTGGTGCAGGAAGGACATGGCATACGTCTGCACCTCGATTAGCATGGGGTTCTTACTGTCCTCTGAGTTCATTATCTTCAGGACGTACTCGCCACCCTCCATGGCTGCCACGTAGAAGTTCTGGTCATCGTAACTCGGCAGCGAGCGAATTTCAGATGCCGTCAGTCTGAACAGCCTCTTCACAATCTCAGCCACCTGAGACTGGCTGAAGTTAGGCTTGGCATGCTTCACTGACATTATTGCTGCATGAAAACAACATGCAAACCAGATTAAAAAGATTTATCTTGCAGACATCTATGAAAGTAAAGTTTGCTTTTGGTAAATTTCTAATCATTTGTGTTGTATTTCAGGAGCTATTTTTAATTTTATAACTATTATTGATTGTTTGTTTGTTATCATGTGATTCTGATTTTCTTATTTTGGTTTGTTCCTACCAAGGTCATTTAAAGGTCACTTGTATACCTTCCTAATATCACTGAAGTGGCTGGTAAATTTGCAGCGTGTTTGTCTTTTTGGTTGTTTTTCTTTGTCTGGTATCATTAAAAACTGAATCATGAACAAGAAAAAATAATAAATAATTTTCTTTGTAGCCTTATTTGCTTGCTTTGATGTTGTTTTGACAAAATAAAGATGACATCTTGGACCCTGAAAGTCTGCACTGAGCATTCGTGTTTCCTTATATCTTATACAGGCCTACTAAACATTAAAAAATAAACGAAAAAATAAACTTGGGTGCAACCAAACATCCTATAAAGTTTGAGTTGAGAGGTTTTCCACATGCACTGATGATTATTTCTGTATTATTTGCAGTGTCCTCTTGCAAAGTCTACATGCTGGGAGTCAAATCAAAGCACTACTCTTCCATTAGCAGACGCGAGATTAAACAAAAGGTCGCCATAAAACTGCACAGACACTAGATTACACACACACACCGCTGAGGACGGTGTCTTTCATACATCCAGTGACAGTGTGAGTGTTCACACATATTAACTGTAACACACTGAGTCCGTATAAACAGCAAGTGTCCCTGCATTTTGAGTTGATCCACGCCAACAGTTTGGTATGAGCCGCTCTTGTATTCAATGATTCAATGAGATAACGGTACACTGGCTGTAGATACATGGATAACAGTCCTAAGGGACGGACACATTTTGTTCACATGCCAGCAGACCTACCTCAGGCTGTCTAAAAACACCAGGGGAATAATGGGTGACACGTTACGTTACGTGGTGGGGTCCGCTGCTGACATCACACTGAACTGCAGACTTATGGGACCGTACAAATGTCCATGTCCGGTGCGATTTTTCAAAATACAACTAACACCGATACAGTTGAAGGATGTAGGTTTTGGCAGTAATGCAAGGACCGATTAATATGCGTTGTTTTTAAGTTGAATTCGTCATATAATTGATCAGCTCTTTTCACAGCTTATAACATTTTTATGTCTAGAACTAATATCAAGTGAGCGTAAGTCAGGAAAAATATAGCTTCCGGTGTCTGATTTCGATGTTAAAGATTAGTGGATGCAAACGAGACGCGATTTAACGACTCTGAATGCGAGCAAATACACACTACATTAAAATAAATGTGTTTTTTATTCGCAAATGTATGTATTAATACAGCTCACGCTAAGACTATTGTCAAGGAAGATTTAAAATCATAAGTAACTTCCGTTGGTAAATTTCAACATAAAAGTCTGACTGCTATTTTGGCAGTATGTTTGAATTCTAACATATGTAACATAACCCACGTTTCTGAACTCTTGTGAGGTTAACTTTTTTAAACGTCCAAAGATATCTGAAGTAATTTATTATTCCAATTAGAAAAGTCTGGACATGGATCCTTCATACCTCTCTCTCCTAAACAGAGCTGGCCCTGACCTAACCTGTCCTGCTAGAGGGCCCTCTTACATAACCTGTAAAACATGTATGTGCAACTATTTACCATTGCCATACAGTTACACCTGACATCCCAGCGACCCCCACAACAATTTGCGCATATGAACGCATCACTTACAACGTGGTTATCTTTTCCGATCATAAATACTTCAGCCTGTTGACATTTATCGGACGTAATATATCGTTTTATTTCACTCTTAATGTTGTCAGGAACAAAGTCACAGAACAGACCTGGAAGACACAGACAGGCCGAGAGCTACACTGCCAGCTGTTAGTGAGACAGACCAAGAGACTAAGCAGTGTGCATAGTGTGCGTACAGGGCGGACCGGCTCTGCTCCTAAAAGAACCACATCTCGATAAAATTCAGAATAGAATAGAATAGAATTTAAAATCCTCCTCCTCACCTATAAAGCTCTTCATGGTCAGGCCCCTTCATATCTTGAAGAG